TTTTGTTAAACCTATTTTTTGTTAGGTATTCATCTAAATTAGAACTTCCTAGAATATCTTTAAAAAAAAAATTATTTTCATAATTAAAATTAAACAAATTATGATCAAATTGTGACGTACGGGACATCACACTTTGGAACCTACCTCATTTGCATAATTAAATAATTTTGAAAGTTTTTATATTTTTTTCTTATTTTCTAGCATGATGGTCTACATGTCCTGAGATATTTAATTTTAAACAAATAATTCAAATGAGATACATAAATAAAAATGTAATGTCCCGTACGTCACGCTAATTAATAAAAAATAAAAAAATTGAAGTTCGTGACCTTGGCACTCTTCGTATTTTGATTATTTTTTATATTTTTTATCAGATTGATAAAATTCATAGTTTCAGCTTTAAAAGGAGGTATAGTTTGTTAAATATATATAAAGATGAAATTTGACCCCAGAGGGGACAATAGCTTGGACCTGCCCATTTACATGTACCTCTCCTACCGCCAATAGCTCAAAAACCGGTCCCAACACGACATTAGGACTACCGTCATGTTCATTGGTAGTTCACTAAGGAAGGCTGGGGCCATTAGTCTCATCTAATGTTAAACAAAATTTTAACGAAAAAGAATAATCTGAAAAGTTAAAGCTATCAAAATTTAACTGGTTCTAAAATATAATATTTATATATTTTTAAAGTATTCTTTGTTCTTCATTTCAAGTAATTCAACTTTAAAGGTTATATGTAATAGATATCTCTTGATTTTGATTTGTTATTCTAAAGTTTGCTTTTGTACTAAGACTAATACAGCAGAATAAAGACTGATACCAATTCTTTAAACGTATCATGCAGTGGTTGAAGCGGACTTATCTGTACAAGCGTGCATGCTTCTTTTTCATTCATCCTATGATCCTAGAGGCTATATACCCCGGTTGTGTTGACGGATTATCACGACAATAAAATCAAGTTTATAATAATTAATAGTTCACAAGGTGGGAATTCTGTGAGTATTTGTACATCTTTAAAAAACTTACTAATTTTGTATGATATGGCTACGATGGGTCGATTTGAAACTGTTGTCGCATGCAAGAACAGTGACTCAGTTGATCGTATGTTGAGTGAGTGAGTGAGTGAATGAGCACTCCACCATTTTTTTTTACTGTCGATATTTTGCAACGTCATGTCAGTATTACATTAACATATGACATATAGCACTATAGTACAAAGCCATGTTCAGACCGGGGCTTCCGAGTCGCCGTAAGTTGATCCCTTTAGCAGTAAATATCCCATAAATATTTGACAAACACCATTAATAGTTGTCCATACCCTCTTACTTCTTGATTGGTTGTTATTGTTTTGCCAAATGCATGTTTATAGGACATTTTTCTGCGAAGATGGAATAAAATGTCAGTTTTTTAATAAATAACTTCAAGTTGTGGCAAGCTGGCGCGATCTTATGGCCATTTTATTAATTGGTATCAATAAATAAATTCCTGTTATCAAGAAATAATTTTATGTTGTAAAGCAATGGTAATTCTTGATATCAAGAATTTGATTTCGTGATATCAGGAATTCAATTTTGTGATATCAAGAATTGAATTCTTGATATCAAAAAATATGTTTTAATGATAAAACTGCTTGCCATATGATCGCGCCAGCTCGCCACAACTTGAGGCTCCACTTCAGCTAAGTGGGAGCCCTGCTTTTGACATCAGATGATGAATGTAGGTCAGGAGTGTCTTGAAGCATGACAGAGTGGAAAGCTAAATGTAGAATAAACAAGTATAACCATTTAGATCAGTAAAATCAAAACCTTACAAGGTACAACAGCAATATATACTGCATTGAGATGCACACAGAGGTAATTTGGCAATATAAGCCTAAGGCTGGAGATGATACCACACCTATATCTTTCAATTCAACATATATTCTTCGATCAAGTGATACAAAACAAACATACAATGACACTCGAGGATCTAGCTGAAACTATTCGCATCGAAGGAACTTCAACTAGCACTAAAGTACTAATGATGTTCCTGAGTGCGAATAGTTTTAGCTTGTTCCGAGAATGAATCATTTTATATTTGTTTTATATCCCTTCCATCTGTATTATTCCTACACTTCTGTAATAACATGAACCTTATACTCACTTTCACATCTTACATTCAGATCTAAAAGAAATCAAAGAAAATTGCACGCCTCAAAAACAGAGCTTAGCTGGCGCTGCGTATAGTGTAGTGCAATTATCGCGCGCACAGCGCAAATTGCATGTGCACATGCTTGAGCGCTGTGAGCTGAGGCATTGAAATCCTGTATGCTCGCTGACGTCACGCATAGTACCTTTTTTCCCTAGGGAAAAAAGGTACTATGCGTGACGTCAGCAATAAAAAATGTACTATTCCGATGTAGGCGGCAGGAAACGTCTTTTATAGTAAAACTATTCATTTTCTTGTTGTATACAATCCTAATGCAACAACTATACATGAGGGATATAATAAACAATACAAAGACTAATGACAGTATTACAACTTATCTCACACCTTCTCTCCCTCAAACAATTCAAACAGGATCGCATGTGATGGTCTATAGCTTCTTCTTGGCAGGCGCAGAGCCAGGGGGGGGGGGGGGGGTGGGGGCGGTCGCCCCCCAAAAATCTACTATAGCTGAGTAATGAACAAAAAAAATTCTGTCCAACGAATTAGGTTGGTATAATACAAAGTTTTGGGAAATTTGAAAATTAGCTGGATAGTGAGTCTTAACAATTTTGATATATTTGGATGCTCCTGGGGATGTATTAATTATAAGCATTAAAAAAAATAACCCCCGCAAGAACACACTTCTGCATTAAAAATTTACCAGTGCTCCTGGTAAATTTTGATGAATTTCAAATAGCGCTCACGGCCATACAATTGTAGCTGCGACCATAAAAATCTCAGAATATGTAGTTGTGATATATAATTTCCAAAATGGGAATATAGCCAATCGGTTGATTTTAGTCAAAAACAATTGCTTCAGGGCCTAATTAATATCTTGACCTTGAGAGGGAGCTATACAACATAAAGAGTTTATTATTTATAATTCATAACTTTAGACTCGATTTCAACCACGACAACGATCACTGAATATTGTAAGACCGCATATGCTTCTAATATGTTCATTTGAACTAAATTCATGACCCCATTACCTTTAAACTGTTCTTGGTATTTTTTACTGGTATGTTAGTATTTCTATAATTTGCTCTTCAGAGCACTGCAAAATGATTTTTTTTGTTTTTTGTTGCTTGTATCTCTTGCAAATGAAGTTCCATTGAAATGTTAATGACATGAGAGATACTTTATTTATTGACCATTGAGATTTAGGCCATAATTATAACAATCTCATAACCTACATTGTAAATGGAAATGGGTGGGGGTCATTTACTAAACTTTGAGAAAGTTGAGTTTTTGTAACTCTGGTTGCGAAATATTGACATATACATATATGTATTTTGTATATGCATGCCTGTCCTAATAAAAACCTGTTTTCTTTTTTTATTCTAAATTCAAGGGATTGCAAATGAGGAAGAAGAGGCCAGTTCCATATTACTTCCAGCAGAACGGTACATAAGTTGATAGTATAATAACTTGAAAATGCATCAAATGATGAAGGATTTTTGCACTTAGACTCGACAAATTTTGAGAAACACAAAGTATTTGCATTACATATTAACTCATTTGCTGGTTTGACACTTTGAAACAAATGTTACCAGTCACTCTCCCCCCCCCCCCCCCCCCCCCCCTCCCCTCAGTACTTACCAGTATAGAATGAAAATCTGAACTGAAGTATTAAATATTAATAATAATAAATCAATAAACAAAATAAAAATAAAAAAAATAAAAACACTAACATCTATGAATTGGAAACATATTGAAAATTCCCAATTTTTTCACACAAACTTTCAAACGTAATATCCCCTTTGCATCAACATGTCTTCAGACTTCTGGTATAAAAGGCAAATATATACTTTATGCATCTGTGGTTCATAGACTAGTATACTACAACATGTCAGGTAGAAATATAAAGACATGTATTTTCATGAACCCACTTTGCCAAAGAACATAGATTTGATGAAGTAACCTCGCACAAGTCAACCTCGTATATATGTCAAATAACTGCCTAAGAATTATAGAATAATTTCATACCATCAAAATTCAATGAAGGATCGTTTTATCAAATTTTTCCCTCTACGTTTTTGTTTCTTTTCAGTTGGGATTTTGGAATGTGTTCCAGGCAGGACGCCGAGAAGAAGTTGATGGCCATTGGTATAAATAAAGGCCAATTCATTGTAAGGGATAGAGACCCTGGTAAGAAAACAAAAATCAATCATCAAAAGTTAAGTCATTAAGTACTTGATATAAAAATTGGTTTTAATATAAAAATAAAAAAAAGAGAAAAAGAAGTAAAAACAGATTGTTGGAAGAATTAAGTTTTGCATGGTGTAAACCTGAAAACTTTAAACTATAATTGAGCTTGGTGAAGTTTTATGAAAAACAAATTAAAAGTAAGAAACCAATGGATTTTTTAAAAGTTGTAATCAATCAAACGCAAATTTGAAAGACTGTGACATACATGTACATGGATGTCACAGTCTTTCAATGAGCAACCCTCCCACTTGCTTATTCTTGTATATTTTGTAAATTTCATTGTCATGGTTTTTAATGAAGAACAACATATTTTTGAGGGTGTATTTAAGAGGGGATGTGTACAAATATGTGTAAAATAGTAAATGTACATGTATATTTAGGGCAGGGTGCATGTGTAATCCAATATTCAGAAAATTCTGACATTTATTAAATTTTTGGTGGTATAGAATAAAATGGAGAGTTGGGCGCAAATTGCACAGAGTTTCCAGTTTATACGTGATCGGTGGCAAATGTAAACTCACCCATTTATTTCCTAAATGGACCATTTGAAGAATTGTTTAAATTAAGTACATACATCAGTATGTTAGTAATATACTAGCTGAAAATCTTTGTGGTATCTGAACTTTAGTCTTCAGGCTTTTGCCAAGTTTTTGTCTGTTTCTATTATGAATAAAATAAGAAATAAATTGAAACACCGATTGTTTCAGGTACCTTCGAGCTGTCTGTGAGAGATAACAACCCTCAGAAGGGAGATCATGTCAAGCATTACAGAATATGGAAGATGGATGGAGGCAACAGCTTCTTCATCTTTCAAGGAAGTGTCTTCCCAACGGTCTCAGAGCTGGTTCGTCACTACCAGAGTAAGTAAAGCAAGGTCCTATACTATGGTCTACCCATTCCCTACAGGAACCGGGTGATCCCTGTATTAAAACCTATTGGGGGAAGAGAATGCAGAAGCTATAGAGTTAACTCTCTCTAGTTGATATCCCTGTGCTATCATACATGTAGGCCTAGATGTATTGATCAATATGTACCAGTAGTTTCACCTTAGGCTTTGAGGTTTTTTGAAAATTTCTAGAAAAAACTAATATTCAATTCAATTCAATTCAATTTTATTTCGCAATTAATATAAAAATCAAAATATACAAAGTAACAGTAAATTTTAACTATGTTTACAAAGGTTATATGCGGGGCTTTCCATGAAGGTTGCGAAAACCTGTGAAGTTGGATCGCCCAGATGTTAATTTGCAAGCAATATTTGCAAGCAATTGAAGGGATCCTGTAGTGAATTAGAATTGGGCTTATTCACTCGAAGCTTCAAAAACACTACACAGGTTAATGCTACATCTACTATCAAACTGGTGGAGTTGATGATCTCATCTGTTTGGATGGGGTTCATTGGGGGTGTAATGAATTATTGGAAAGTCTGGACCAGCCTGCAAAGTAATTAGTCCAGTCAGAGAAATTTTAACTTTTGTGAAAGGCTCGATGTACATGTACTTCAGGCTCATGGATTTTGGGGCATGAAACATTTGTGAATTCTTTACTACTAGCAGAATTTGTGAAAGGTTGAAAATGTCTGGTTTGCAGTACGTTACTTTAATTTTCTCTAGCTCTGCTCTCTCTCTGTTTCATTTTTTGTCTCTCAGTGAACAGTGATGGTCTATGCTGCAAATTGACTGAAGCTTGTCCGAAGGAGAATCCCAACACCATCGGTCTCGGTAAGGACAAATGGGAGACCCCTCGGAAGTCTCTTGGTCAGATGAACAGACGACTTGGAGAAGGAAAGTTTGGTGAGGTCTGGCAAGGTAGGTATTCAGGTTATTTTGTTACAATTATGCCTCAGTACGAAGTAGCCGGAGGCATTATGTTTTCGGGTTGTCTGTCCGTCCGTACATATACGTATGTAGGGATGTCCCGTTCTCGTGATCGATTCCTGCCAAACTTAGGTCATGTATGTATCTTGCAGAGCCGATGAATTGATTAGATTTTGGGGTCACGAGGTCAAAGGTCACAATGCTCATTATGTATGCAAAAATAGCTGGTGATCACGTTATCCAGAAACCGATTCATGGATTCCTGCCAAACTTAGGCCATGTATGTATCTTGCAGAGCAAATGAATTGATTAGATTTTGGGGTCACGAGGTCTAAGGTCAAAGGGCTCATCATCTATGCATAAATAGCTGGTGATCACATAAAACCGATGGACAGATTGCCATCAAACGCAGGACATGTATGTATCTTGCTGAGCCAATGAACTGATTAGTTTTTTTTTTGGGGGGGGGGGGGAGGGGTCATGAGGTCAAAGGTCATGGGTCCATATATGCAAAAATAGCTTGTGATCGCATTATTATTAGAACCGATGGACGAATTACCATCAAACTCAAGACACGTATGTATCTTGCAAAGCCAATAAAACTGATTAGATATGTTAGGGTCATGAGGTCAAAGATAAAAGGGTCATACATGTATATAAAAAATAGCTTGTAATCACGATATTCTGAAAACCTGTTATGGATTACAATTATACCTGAATTTGAAAAATTGCTTCTGTTTTGGTTTGTGAAATCGCTCTATGGCGGAGGCATCATTTTCGACTGCGCAGTCGAAGTTCCATCTAGTTGGTTATAGCTTAAGTATGTATTTTGGTTATTAAAGATATATTCTCGCAACAATTGGTTATAGCTTATTGCTATAATCTGGTCTAAAATCCTTGAACAGTTGTTCCACATACGGACCATGAGTTTCTTTAAAAAGCACAACATCCTCTCTGATACTCAATTTGGCTTCCGAGAAAAGAGTAGCACTATCCATGCAATACTTTCTTTAGTTCAAACAGTTGCCAAAGCTATTGATCAGTCTTCTAATACGGTTGGTTTGTTCATAGATTTTTCTAAAGCATTTGATACCATTGATCATGATGTCCTTCTTTACAAAGTTTCTCACTACGGAATTAGGGGTAAACCGTTGACGTGGAATTATCTTAAAGGGCGCTCCCAGTTTGTTTCTCTGAAAGTAAACCTGTCCTTTGCGGAGTTCCGCAAGGCAGTATTCTTGGCCCACTTTTTTATTATTTATATAAACAACATTAGATGAGAAGTCATCTTGTCTGCTTCAATTTATACTTTTTGCTAACGACTCAAATATTTTTTTGTCACATCGCGATCCAGAGCAATTGACGCAAATATTAAATAACAAACTTAAAAGTGTGGCAAATTGGATAAAAGCAAACAAACTGTCACTTAACTTAGACAAAACTAGTTACATGCTATTTAGTAATAAGGTTGCAACTTTGCCTAATTGTATAATTATTGATAGTACTGTCATTCGAAGTGCCCGATCAACTAAATTTGGGGGCTAGTCATTGATGAAAAACTATCTTGAAAAGCGCACACTGACAATATCTGCAAAATCATTGCTCGCAACACTGGTATCCTTGGCAAATTAAGACCTACCCCATTATATTACGTTATCCTTGTATTCTACGCTTATTCTTCCTTACCGGTACTTGAATTACGGACTTATTGCCTGGGGCAGTGCAGCAACTTCCCAAATTAATAGACTCTTTATATTACAAAAAAGAGCGATTTGTATTATTAATAATGGAGATTTCCGGGCACAAAAGAATAATCTTTTTCTGAATAATAACATTTTGAAAATTAAAGACTTGTATATTTTTCAGCTAAACAATTACCTTTGCCTTTTAAAGATTTGTTCGTAAGTGATGATTCGATTCATAGTTACCTCACTCGCCAGGTGAGCTCTTTTCATCTACCATTAAATAGAACATCTTTTGCACAAAAGACATTTGTTTTTACAGTTCCAAACCGTGGAATTCTCTTTCAAATGATATTATACAGTGTAATTTGATTCAAATTTTCAAAAGGAGACTTAAAAGCTTTCTTCTGAATAGTTACTAGGCTATTGCATTCCCCAATCAAATATAATTTGTAGTGTGACTTTATGCAACTTTGATTGTTTCTTTTTATAAACATGTATGTATATATCAATGTTTAGCGTTTAAAAGTGATTTTTGTATTACTGAATCTGTTATTGTTTTAGTTTTTTTCTCATAAAATAATAATTCATAATATTACTTTTACAGGGGGGGGGGGGGGGGGCTTACACCCTACAAGCTCTGCTTTTAGTCGGCCCTCCTTCCCTTTCAATTTCGTGTTTATTTTTTTAATGTATTTTATTGTGCAAATTGATCTATAAGTATATAAATATGTGAATATGTTAAAAATGTACCATCATTGTAAATATGAACGATTGAAAGAGGAAAAATAAATGAATTGAATTGAATTGAATTGAAAAGCTTAGTAGGTATGTATTTTAGTTGTAAAAGATTTATTCCTGCGACAATTGGTTATAGCTTAGTAGGTATGTATTTTGGTTGTTAACATTTATTCCTGCAACAATTGGTTATAATAATAATAACTAGACATGTAATACTTGTTTGAAACAAGTATAGGTGGGCTGGTCAACTAAAATTTGAGACAAAATAGAGCAAAAATAAGCGAGATACTGCTTACAAATTCTTAAAAAACAATATCATGTAGATTCATGACATGAACGAAATTCACCTTCTATAGGCATAACACACAAATTATGAAATTTCTGACATGAGGCCTTTAATAGAAATTTTCACTATGATGACATCATCAAAATGAAAAATGGTGACATATGAGCTTGAAGAGAATTATCTTAGCTACAACATATCAACATTTTGAAGAAAATCGATCAATATTTACAGAGATACAATCAATTTTCCATAAATATGCTGACTTCATAATATGCAAATTCGTATTTTTAGATCGAAAGCCATTATGATGATGTCAGAATATTTTTAATAGCCAAATGAGACATTAAGTCTTATTTCCGACTCATTCTCTATCAAAATATGAAACAAAATTGGGGGTCCAGTTCCATCCCAAAGAGCTATAATAGATTTCGTATTGGCATGTTTTTGCCCATATATGCTATGTATTACAAGAGCTCGCGCGCACGGACGCTCATCTTGTTCTCAATGGTCATAAAGAGATAAACATGGTATCATATTGTTCAAAAAAATATGGGAAATATCATGAAAGAAAAAAAATGGCGATTCTATGTTGTGTAATAATGGTGTTACGCGCGAAAACGCCCGCGCATGCGTGTGTGCGTGATTTTTTATGAAATGCTTAAAATGGCCTAAAACGTATGCAAAATAGTGGCTACTTGTATAGCGCACAGGTCCGCCTTTCAGTGCTCATGGTGCTTAGAGAAAAATACCTGTAACAAACATAAGAAAGAAAAAACAAAAAACAAATTTTGAAATTCTCCTAGACAATTTAAGGAAAAACACAAATAAGTTTTCAGTTGTGATTTGAATGTTTCTGTTGACGACAGTTGACATATTTGCAGAGGGAGATCATTCCAGAGTGTTGGACCCATGAGTGAGAAAGCCAGATTGCAATAGCGTGTCTGATGACGATCGAAAACGTGTGGGATTTTATTTGGAAACAGAGTTGCTCAGGTAGGTAGGGGAAACAAGAGAGTAAACTGAATGATGTACTTGTAACAGAATTTTAAATATATCTACTGGGTGTCATTATCGATGAAAATCTAAACTGGAATGAACATATACGTCATATCACTACCGGTATATACTTCTATTTCTAGGAATATTGGTTTATTATATAAACTGAAGAAATTAATCCCATGTTATACACTTGTTATGCTTTATAATTCATTGATATTACCGTATATAACATATTGCAAAAGAAAGCCCTTCGTATGTACTGGTTCACCATATTTGTCTCACACAAGTCCAATATTTTACAAACTGAAAACCCTAACAGTATTCGACATAAATTCGCTACAAAGTTTACTGATCATGTTTAAGTATTTAAATGATATGCTCCCTCTTTCATTTCAAAACTTTTACACTATGAATAAAGCTACTCATTCTTACCCTACCCGTAATTCCTCAAATTTTCATAGAGTAAACCCAAAATTCTGGGACATTTTGCTTTGTTCGAACTTTCATTATGGTCTTCATCTAAATTATAAGTGACTTTTTGACATGAAAATATCTTAAAACAACTTACCGTAAATTTCCGTGTACAAGGCGCACCTGTTTATAAGGAAAAAAAAAAATTAAAAATTAAAAATATATATAAATAAATAAATTAAATATTTTTTTTTGTGTTTTGTTGCCGAAAACCCACGCGGGGAAGGACCTTCATTTAACATCGAGGTGCAGTTAAAGGCGCTGATTTGTGCTCGTAAACTTGTCACAAATAATAGTAACAATGTCGTTTTTAGAAGACTGTAAGATCATTAATTTAAATTAAAAACAATAGAGTACCTAGGTCCTAGGATAGAACCTTGTGGTACACCATTTGTTAAATAAAAAAGATTTAGGAATTATTATTCATATTGAGATCTATTAGAAAGATTACTTTCAAACCAAGATGACAGACAAATTTTAGTGTTGTTGTAGTTTGCGAGTGGTGAGTCAACACACTGATTACTGAGCTGGGAGACATTGCCAGGCATAGCGCCATAAATCGGGGGAAAAAAAAAATTCTGTACCCGTGTATAAGGCGCACCCCGACTTTCAATTTTATCCGGCGGCAAAAAAGTGCGCCTTATACACAGAGATTTACGGGGTAAGTAAAATATATATTTCCTACTTCTTATTTCCTTTCAGGCAGAGCCCCAGTAAGAGTTTGTTTGATGATGAAGAGTACAGCTGTCATCTCTCACGCAGAGCTGCAAGGCTCGATCTCTCCAAGTTTTAACGAGAGAAACAAAAGTGGGGTCCTGATACCCCACCTGATTTACATTGGTGCCTGTGTCATAGTGATGGGGTATAGTGGTTCTGTCAAAGTTTTAATGAGAGAAATGAAAGTGGGGTCGTGATACCCCACCTGATTTACATTAGTTCCTGTGTTATAGTGGTGTGGTAAAGTTTTAACGAGAGCTTTTCGTAATGATATATAAATATATTTGCTTATTTATGATTCTTTGTCAGAAAAATACTTATTGTACTTTACATTATTATTGTTATCGAAAATTGTATGTTTACATGAATGCAGAAGAAAATAAAATATAATCAAAACCAAATCAAATCAAAACACAGAATTGGTGAATTTTTAAGTCGTTGAAGTTTTGTGACATCATTTTTGGAAGATTACAGAACAACAAATTTGCAAAATCTAAACAAAAAGCAAATAAACCATGAATCAAGATCTCAGCCCCAGGTTCAGAAAAACACTTTCTTATGAAACCTAGATTGCGTAATTCATACCTTACACTCTGTTGAACATGTGTATGACTACAAAAGGACATTTCTTGATCAAATATTACACCCAAATTACGAGCTGTTTTTGATGGAGTGATACATGTGCTACCAATATGGAGATGACATGATTGATAGTCAACCTTTCATAACATGTGCTTTGAACCTAATAATAAAAACTCAGATTTATCATCATTCAGCTTAAGGCCATTAGATATTAGCCAGGATTTTAGTTCTTCTAGACATGTTTCAAGTTTTGAAACAGCTGACGACAGTGAAGACATTGTAGGTTTAAAAGAAAGATAAATTTGGATGTCATCTGCGTATTAATCAATGGTGGCTAATACAATGTTTGTGAAATATCTTGCTGATTGGTTGCATATAAAGAGAAAAGAGCAGTGGTCCTCCTACCGAACCCTGGGGTACACCATACTTCATAGTAGTTTTACCAGAGGTAGAATTACCAATTTTAACACACTGAGATCGTTCAGATGATACGATATGATTTCAGCCTTCAAGTCAGGATAGAGTAATCTACTGTATCGAAAGCTGAGCTCATATCTAGCTTAGGTACTGTATGTATTTTGGTTGTTAAACATTTATTCCTGCAAGAATTGATAATTAAACATTTATTCCTGCTACATTTGGTTTCCTAAACATTTGCTCCAGTGACAGTTCCCAGATTTTTAAATCTTCATCACTGCATCATATATTCATAACCCTAACCTTAGTCCATTAACAATCATCATCCTGTTACCAATTGTTTGAACCCTTTGGCCCTTTTTGTCCCTCTCTTGCAACTTAGGAGTATGGAATGGTAACACACCTGTCGCTGTCAAGACTCTGAAGGAAAGGACCATGTCACCTGCAGCCTTCCTGGCTGAGGCCAATGTCATGAAGAAACTCAGACATGAAGGCATTGTACAGCTCTATGCAGTGTGCTCAGACAAAGTAAGTGATTTCCAAAAGACATTTGAGACAACAATCCATTAAAAAATTATTACTACTTTACATAACCATACGGCTCTCATAGATGACCATAATTACCCCCTTATAGAAGGTTGCCAACCACTTCCAAAATTACCACCTCCTCTCCAAGAGAATTACCCCCCCCCCCCTGTCCTAGGTTATTATTTCCTATCCCAGATGACCACAATCCTCTTCCTTTTGGACAATAATCCATCAGAGATGATTATAGGCATTTCTTGTAGTCCTTCTCTTTTAGCACCACTCCCAGTTCCTTCACTCCTTTCTCTTCCAACAATTTCTGCAGACTGTCCACCCAAACTATCCCCCTTCTCCCCTACTCCTTCTTCCCACAATTTTCCCTGTCAAAGTAAGATTCTCTAGGCCTTCTTTACATGTAAT